GTATACCTAATTCCTTAAGCAATTTCTCGCTATTCTTATCCTTAGCCTTATATATAAGGACCGCAACGTAATTGTGTTTCTCGATGAGGAGGGCCAGCATCTCGTGGGACACCTCCTCGATCTCATCCGACTGAGTCTGTCTGACCAACCAGTCCAACACCTTCTCCTCGTTCATGAGATCACCCTGGTATACGCTGGGGATTCTGTTTTCAAAGTACACAAGGGTTGGTAGTTCGTCATCGATTCCGTACTCCCGGGCCATTGAATCGTCGTCTATCTTCACGAATAGGATTCCCTTTTCGTCGCACTCGTCGTCGATGTTCTCGAGCTCCTGGAGTACGTCCATTGACTTCGGGTCGTCCCTGTCGTCTGCCCGGGGGTTATAAGCGCAGGAAATACGGTATTAATTATTAGGAATTTTTTTATAATTATATAACTTATAACTAATCAACTATTTAATAAAAATATAATAATTATATCATGTGACACCTATATCAAGTGTATTGTATGTGCTTTGTGAAAATGGCATGATAATATATTATTTAAAATTAAATCACAAATTTTTAGTAGCTTAGTAGCGAGTTTATTTTATCCCTATTTATTTATTTATTAACTTAGTTATCCAAATAATAACCTTAATTAAGAATTACTAATTCTTGATTAATCTATTGATAACATGTTGTAAATATTAACAAGGAATAACAGTTATACTGTATTATGATTTACTGTTAGCAAGCTAATTTCAATATAATACTGTGATTTTAATTTATATAGCATAAGTTATTACCATTGCCATAATCTATTAATTTATCTATCAATAAAATAAATTATTTGTATGAAATATAAGGACACATATAGACACAGAATATTCTGTAAACTCACAGAATAATACGGCTAAATAACTGGATGAGTCGATCATATTATCCAACACTACGTCCGACACGTCCTCAATCTCATCGGAGGCCTTCTGATGGATCAACCATTTCAGCACTTCCTCCTCAACCATCAGATCACCTGAAAATTAATTTAATATTAATACAATTTGTAAACATATCCAGTTTAATTGATTGGTAAATAATTATCAAGTACACCTACCTTGGTAAAAGTTAGGTATTTTCTTTTCAAAGTAGACCAATGTTGGCAACTCGTGATAATCAATACCAAATCTCTTGGACACCTCCACATCATCTGTCATTGCAATCAATTAATCAATCATTTACTGATATAATCACAGAATAAACACTTTGAATACAAAAAATAAATATTTGTTTTAAAATTTAAGTCTTAAACAAATTCTTTGAAAATTAAATATAACAACTATAGTAGTGTAGTAATTCTAGTATTGTCAGCAAAATTACCAATATTTTAAACAGTAAACACATATCAATCAAAGTATTGAATAAGTCTTAAGATTTTTGTCAAAATACAATTATATGAAAGTATATTTTGAGACCTATTTTGACAAACGCTATGTCGTGTTGATCGCACTCGTCGTCTATATTCTCTGTAATTATAACACAAAACATTGAAAATCATTACAGAATTTAACAAAATATTATGTTTAACATAATAATATTAAACACAAACTCATACCTAATTCGTGCAACACTTCCATACTATCCTTGTCCTCGTCATCATCTAATTTATAGGGAAAGGTATCACGAAATGATAAAAAAAAATAAGACCACGTATTAGTCAGGTAACTACCGGTGCCATTCGCCAGACACCCGAATCGCTTGCTTACAGCTTACAGAACAGTACGGCCAACGAATCGGACGACTCGATGAGTTGGGTCAGTATGGCTGCTGACACGTCCTCAATCTCGTCTGAGTCCGCAGTAAACTCATCCGGATCTTCGACCGTATCCCTGAATTCTATCAACCATTGCAACACCTTTTGCTCTTCCTCTAAGTCATCTGCCATTTATAAATACCCGGATCAGTGAGTGAATTAGTTAGTTAGTTAGTTAGAGAGAGAGAGAGAGAGAAAATTAAAAAAAGTTCTACAAATAATTTATTAAAATGTTAATTTTCTAATTAATTCATTTATATTTTCTATATTACACCATTTAGTTAAAAGTATTAAAATCTTATTTATACCAGATCGCAGTTATTATTTTATACAGGTATATATTGCAATAATAAATACCTGGGTATACAATGGGAATCTTTTTCCTATAGTAGACAAGGGCTGGCAGATCGTCAAGTCCTGCAGTGATGGATGAGTTATGTAATTAGCAAATGATAGTCTCATTCATACTGTATGTATACCATATTCGTAGGCGAGTTCGGGTTCCGATATTTTAACCTAGGTAATAATAACATGTGTAAATACTATTTATTATTTAATACAGTAGTAAAACTTTAAAACTATTAGTGAAAAATTGTAATTATTATGTGAAATAAGATGAATGTCCGGGAAATACATACAAAACCGATATTATGTTGGTCTGCGTCGTCGTCGATCTCTTCCAAGTGATGCAAAACTTTCTCACATTTCTTGCAGTTTTGTTTGTCTATTAAAATCACAAATCAATACAAATTATTAGATTTACTTATTTTATATAATTTAATTAATTATCAACAAATTAAAGGTTTTATTTTTCAACATATTATTACACAAAATTTTATTCTATATGTAAAATGGTTTATATTTTTATTATATAAATACGATATTAAAGTTACATATTAATAATATAAAATGTTATAAACTTAGTTAATTGATAATAGCCCTGATTATAACCTTTTCTATTTATTACCTAATCAGAGTAGTAGTTTACTTGGAAGTGAACAAAAATATTTGTTATAAGTATTATTTTAATATATCAATGTTTTTCATTGATTCAAAAACTCAATAATAAATCATTTGAGTTGCAAATCAAACACATAATGAAATAAAATTAATGTTTATTTTTCAGTCAAAATACAAT